GTACACTTCCGGACTTAGTTTTCAAAAGCAGGACTCCATGCCCATCAGCCGATCAGAGCAACAGCTTATGGGAAGGGACCAGAGGTTTGAAATGGGAAGATCCTCTGTTCTATTGTGAGCCTCTCCAGACTGTCAGCTTTGGTGACTTGGGAGTGAGTGCCTCCACCAAGTCCCAAGGTCCCCAGGTCAAGACCCCTAGACACGATGGGCTGTGAAATCGTCAGGGCCCCTTCCCCCACACCTTCAACCTGGACAACTTACAACTTGTTAGCCCCACTGGATCCTGAGAGTGTCTCTGCCTCCTAAGGAGATTATGGCGGAGGCAAGCCAAGCAAGCTGGGCACAGAAGCTCACCACCAGCCGCCTATAAGATGCCCCTCTAGCAAATCCAGTTGAAACTGGTTAGCCCCTCTAACAAATCCAGTTGAAACTGGTTAGCAGTTTCTAAGAGGCGCATCCTAACTATACAAGCCCACAAAGGTGCTGTGGACTGCACCCTGGCTTTGAGGGCCTTTGGTTTGGTTTATTTCAAACCTTCGTTGCTAGGTCCTTCACACTTGGGCTAATGACTTAGGGAAAGGTCTTGGTACACTCAGGAAGCTTCAACAGTTCCAGCCCCACCCACCCCCATAGGATAAAGGGGAAGTCTCTGACAGAGTTCTGGGGGAGGATTAGAAGGAGGTCATCTTGGCCCAGGTCAAGGAAATTTGCCTCCAGCTTGGTGACCCTCTCACCTTACCCAGAGCCTTTTGCTGATACTTGGACTTCCTTACCAGACTCTGCCCGTATCCACCTGTCACCTTCTTCTCTGGCGGCGCAGCCTGCCCAGACCATTAGTCCAGTGATGGAAAATAAGGAAGCAGAAGGCTTTGTCTGAGCCCAGCCACAAAGGAAGCACTGGAATGGCCCATTTGAATAGAAGCTCCCTGGCGGTGTGGATGGTGATGTCTTCACTTTCAGGAGAGATTTTCTAGGCTGCACTGGGCCTCTTGTTGATGATCCAGGTGGTTCATAGTTATAAAAATCCGGGGCTGTAGTTAGGGTTCTAGAAAGACATGGAAAATCAGCTCTAGTCAATAATTGACTGCAGTGTCCTCAAGCCTTCCTAGCGGCACAACAGTGTCTAGGATCCAGGGTTGTTTGGGGCTTTTGTCTAACTGTATGGGGGCCTAGGTCAGCGTTCTCCAAAGCAGAGACTGAGAAGTTAGAATTGTTATGTAGCATGAGTCAGGAGGAGGTCACCTCCTGCTTGTGCAGAGGTGAGGAGGGAACAGGTTTGGGGAGAGGGGCATGATCATCAGGGAAATGTTTGTGGAGCAGAAACTGCCGGCAAACAATAGCAGGTACAATTTGGTTTCGGGGTTTTGAGAAAGGTAACTTCCAGTTTACTGATGGTGTCATAGGCTCAGAAGGGCTAGGCAGCTGTCTGTCTGAGTCCACACCGAGTGGTGGAATTCAGCTCTGAGCCTGACACCATCCTGGAAAGCTTTACACTCTTGACTAAGACCTGGTCAATACGCCCAAAAAACTGCCCCCAGCCTCCCCAATTCAGTCTTAATGGTTATCTCAGACATGGCCCTGGGCACTTGTTCCCCGAGACATCCCAGCCCACTAATGGGGCTCTGGACCTTTCATTTTCCATCTAGGAACTCACGGAAGTTGGGAGGCCATCATCCCCATTATGGATAGAGAAGATGTTTGCAGGCCTGAGAGGAGAGAGCTGCCTTGGGGGGGCCCTCACCCCCAAAGGATTTTATTAAGCGACAGTTGCCCACAGCTAAGGTTTCCCTGCATGGCATGAAGGCTGAGGGCCCCTGCTGGGTTGATGGCTTAATGGCTGTCACAGCTGCCTGGGCTTTGGAGGTTAGGGAATCAGGAGACCCTTAGCCGAGATGACGTTTCATAATATCCAGAGCCATTTTGTTTGGCGACACCCTACCACCAAGGCTCGGAGTGTGTGCGTACATGCCCAGGCTACATGGTGGGTAACTAGGCTTCTGGAAGACTCTGTTACTATGGCTGCTGCACTAAATCCCACAATTTGAAGACTGGAAGTCGTGGCTGGTTCTTAGAAGGTTATTCTTTGATGGGCCCCAGGGGTGCCGCATGCTCCGCTGCCTCCAGTGATCAAGGGCTCCAGCACTGTCTTTATTGTAGTTTTTGCCTATCCTCTTCTCTGCCCATGTTCTTCTAGTACCAGAGAGAGATGGTCCTCCACCACTGAGGAGGCTGTGACCAGGCTCCCAAGGCAGGGGCTGGCATTGTCTGGGTGACTCAGAATCAGCATGGAGGGTAGAGGGTGTGTGAGGAAAGAAGAGTCCCTGCTCCCTTGGAGAATAGCATTCAAAAGGCACATGACACACACGTTGACAGATACCTGACTGTGTCCTTCTTTGGGCTGGGTCAGCACAGAGCCCTTTCTGGTCACTATAGAGCAAAGCATGAAGGGTGGTGTCAGAGTCAGTTCAGGCCTCACCTCCTGTCACCGTCACGCTGGGGGTCAAGCTTCAATGTGCAGATGGAAGAAGGGACAAGCACTCAGATCATCGCAGATGGCACAGGTGTCACAGCGACCAGTCATTCTACAACAAGGTTGAGTTGCGGGTAGCCTGCACAGCGGGAGCCCCGACTCTGAGTACTCTGGGATGGCATCTCTGGTCCTGCTCTGAAGGTGTCGCAACAAGCTGAATACCAGCGCCACCCTCAATACCTCTTCGGTCCAAAATCTGTTGGTGCTGCCCAAGGGGGAGCCCATGGAGCAAGGTAGACCTTTGCCTTCTAAAGCTTGTAATGGGGTGCAAGAGACAACATGGGCTTCAGAGAGCAGGGAGCCCCAAGAGTATCCATTAGCAGGGCCCATCCGCGGCGTAGATTTGGGCAACTCATGGGAGGAAGCGCCCTTCAGCTGCTAGGCAACAGCTTATCAAGTAGGAGAAGACTTTCTTTTCCACATGGGAGCCAAACGCCACAGGCCCCTGGCCATCTCTTGAGGATGGAACAGTGCTGCCCCTTACATTGCAGGGCTCAGAGCTCATAAAAAGAGATGGAGTGAGATTGGCGGGGAGCAGGCAGAATATAGCCACCCAAGGGAGTCTCGTGGAACAGGGAAACGCCAGAGTTCTGGAAAACTGATGCTGGCAGGGGAGGGTGAGAGCCTGTGAGGACTGGTTGAATCAGATGAGCCCTGAAGAAGAAAGAAATGCAGGACCAGGGAGTGGTGACCAGAGAACCCCAGGCAGAAAGTCTTTAATTCTTGTTGGCAGCAGGCGGCTTTAGGGCAGAGCAGGAAAGAACCAGGGTTGGGAGGAGAGGTGGGTGGGGCACGTGCGTGAATTGTCTCCACCATCTATTCAACCACAAGAGAAAAGGCTTCTCTTCCTCCTTGCCTAGACAGAGCCCATCCCTTCTTGTTTGGCCAGGGACCCTAGGCACACCTCTGCTGGGCAGCCAAAGTTGGTCAAAACCTCAGGAAACACGAGTCTCACACCAAGACTGGGCCTGTGGGTCCTAGGAATGCAGGCCAGGCAGGTCTGGGGCCCCGATGGGCTCGATCTTCTTGGCGTTGGGGCCCCTTTCATTGACGGAACATTTACCACAGTTCTCAGATCACCTTGGTGGCACAGCGCATTCTTGGCAGGTGAGACACTTGCTGGGTAAATGCTAAAAATTAGCAGGTGCACCTGGAATGACCTTGGCTTTGGAGTTTTCTCAAATTCCCACCTCTACCTGAGGCTACCTCCAACTGCTACTCCATCCCGGGGTTTGGGGAGGGGGCCACACACAGGGACTGACTCCTTCATTAAGGAGTGGGAAGGAAGGAGAAACCTCTGTAGATCCTGTCACTGACTGGCAACGGACATGCTCCAGCTGTGGCTTCTTCTTAGCATTCCTGTTTTATGTTGAATGGAAAAAAAAAGATCTGTACTTAGAGAAATAGGAACAGAGCATTTGACGAGCATTCCCTGATTCTTCCACATCAGAGCAACTATTTTCATTGCTACAGCTTGTTT